ATTGCTAACTGATTTCATACCAAGTAAGTTTCCCAAATAGTTGAATATGTCCTTGGGAAGAGCCTTGGTGAAATATCAACAATCTGTTCTTCACCTTTGCAATAGATCAAATCAATCACACCTTCTTGAATTGCATCTCTAATGAAGTGAAACTTCCTGACAATGTGCTTGGTTCTTTGGTGAAACACCGGATTCTTAGACATGGCTATAGCTGAAGTGTTGTCACATAATAGAGTAGTTGCAGGAGCTTGCTCTTCTCCAAAGTCCTCAAGCACAAACCTAAGCCAAATGGCCTGAAAGGTTGCTTTAGATGCACTAACATATTCTGCTTCTGTAGTTGAAAGTGCTACATTGTGCTACTTAATTGAAGCCCATGAAAATGCACCACTTCCAAATGAAAAAGCATACCCTAAGGTGTTTTTCATGTCCTCCTCAGATCCACTCCAGTCACTATCATAGTAACTAATCAATAGAGCAAATTTTCCAACCACATATTCAATCCCAAAATCAATTGTTCATTGAATATATCTTAGAACCCTTTTAGCAGCTCCATAATGCTTCTTAGAAGGCTTGTGCATAAACTGCGCAAGCAAACTAGCAGAGAACATAATGTCTAGCCTAGTTGCTGTTAATTACAGAAGACTCCCAACAATTTTTCTATACAAACTCTTATTTGCAGGTTCACTTTCATCCTATCTTTTCAGTTTATCGGTGGCAACCAATGGAGTGCTTACTGGCTTGCAGTCTGACGGGACCCGCCCCGAATTTCCTCGGAAACCTGAACGAACCCCGGTAAATTACCGACATCACCCTGATGCCGGGTCCACTTACGAAAGAATGAGACTTTCTACCAAAAAAAAAAAAATTGGCAGAGTCTCCCTTGTAAATTGAACATTCCTAAACTTCAACCTGCTCAAAATTTACAGTTACTAAACCCAACCAGTAGCATGCTTTAAAAGCAGTTAAACAGTTTACAATAAAGGCCTTCGGCCTCACAATTCAAACCCTAAGCGGTCGATACAAAGCATATCTAAGAAATTCAAATACAACAGAAATAGAGTTCCACTGGAAAAGAAAGATGAATGAGTCCTTACAAAGACTCAAGGTTCGGAAGCACCCGATCCGGCTAGACTGCGGAGCTCAGTCATTACTGGCTGGGGGGCGCAAAACAGAAAATTGTGAGTGGACAAAAATAAGGTTCAATTCAATGTAAACCAACATAATATAACCCCACCGTTTAGAAAATCATGCAAGAAATCCAAATGCATCCCAAAACCATCGTAATCAAGTATAAATATGTATCAAATCAAATCAAGTACCGAATGCCAAGTTCGAAATCCATAAATAACACTTCACAAACCCACAAATCAAAACTTATAAATCCCACAACTAAACTCTCGAAAGCGTACCCATTGGCACGACCGGCGAGGAAGTATCCTTACCGGGGGATTGTTTGACTAGTCCACATGGCAGAGTCATTCCTCAATTCACCATGTGACTAGGGAACGAGCCGTCCAACTGGGGGACTAACTCTCAGCCAGCACATACAACCGAGGCACTTAAAGCTTGTACACCCGAAAAACCAGTCATACGCGCGCAGACTACCCCAAATCCAGGGTCTACAGCAACATCCCATCAAGGATGTCCCGGGCTCCGACAATTCCAAGTATCTCAAGTATCAGTAACCAAGTTCCAAGTCCGGGGAGGTACATAGGATAGTGCTTAAAGCACTCTAAACATATATTTCAATACTCAACCCTTTCCACAAACTCATTTTAACAACCCAAGTACCCCATATATAGCCAAACATATATAGAGATTCTCAAAATCCAAATATATATATATATATACTCAAGATACTCAAATATATCAAAACCCAAAATGCATGCCAATACTTCATAAAAATATCAATTTCCACCATTGAATAAATAATATATCCAAATATATCATCAACATTATGCATAAATTTTCCCATCATAAAACCATGCATATTATTTAAAAACAAAGTCCACTCACAAGTAGTCCCATGCTGCTTGACCCTGAGAGGGTCCCGCCTATTGCGTATGCATGGTCGGAGTACCTATTTCAGAATACGAACACGCGATTAACATCAAGCGCTTCGAAACATAATTTTGAATTAAAAACCTAGTTTCCCGGGTTTCTAGTGAGTGTACACGGAATGAGACGTTCTAAGGTCCAACTACCCAAATCGGACAATGGAAAAGCCTCGGGAGACACTCGGTCAACCGGGCGGTCAAACTTCCCAAATCGGGTCAACCGGGCCCATGGGACCCACAACCTCAGTTTTGAAATCCGCGAAATCCTACGCGCTTATGACAACCTAAGGATCTCATCAGGACATTTAGCAGCTCCACCAACCTTACTCACGCACCGCCACACGTGCAGGCAGTGCATGGGTGGCTTGATCAATTTCCGACGGCCGGAAAAACTCCAAACCGCCTGCCCAAACTCATGTACTAGGTAGAACACTATATTTTGAGTCACTTTTGTTTTTGGGCCTACCCCAAAAAGTGGCCGGAATTTCGAATTGAAAACCGGCCAAAAACCTAGGTTTTCAAATCGGATTTTATGCTACGAATTGATCCAATCCTATGCAACAGTCAGCTAGAACTCAGAAAATGGATGAGAATCCATACCTCAACTGTCGGAAATGGTGGAGAAATGAGAGGGAATGAGCGGTTTGAATTTTTGGAAAAATGGGCCCGATTTCTGCAGATTCCGACTACTGGAGTGGCTGATAACGGTGGAAACTCGTCGGGGTTTGACGGGGGGGCACAGCCGGTCAGTTTGGTACCGGTACCATAGGTTGCGGTGGTCGGAGGCGGTGGCTGCGTGGAGGGGGAGCCGACGACAGAAAAAATTTCGAAGGGAGAGGGGCTGGTTCGCGGGAGAGAGAGAGAGAGTGAGTGTGTGTGTGTGTGTGTGTGTGTGTGTGTTTTCAGATTTATTAAAAACCAACTTCGAAAAAATTACGGTTATGCCATTGAACTTGTTTTGAACGTAACTTCTTCGTTACAACTCCGAATCGAGCCCACTACGTGTCTGTGGACTCATCTCAGTACGAACTACCCAACAACACCATTCACTGTCCCAAACTCTCTCTCCAGATAAGCAAATGACTAGAATACCCCTACCCCATAGGTAAATTCGTAAAATTCAAAATTAATAGAATTAAATACTTCGAATAAGGAAATTAATTTGGAGTCAGGGTGTTACACAGTCTTTGAGCCCAAATTTGTCCAAGAGAGTTAGAGCATATTTTCTTTGGAATATAAATATACTCCTTTCAGTTTGAGGTACCCCTATTCCAAGAAAATGAATGAGTAAACCCAAATCTGACATCTCATATTTGCACATCATCTCAGCCTTGAACTTTTCCATCATTTCTGCACTACTTCCTATGTACACTATGTCATCAACATAGATTGACACAATCAAAATACCAACACATTCCTTGTTCCTCACATATAAAGTTGCTTCACTTGAGCTTCTGTGAAAGCCACAGTGAATTAAGTATGTGTCAATTTCACTATACCAGGCCCTTGGTACCTGTTTTAGACCATAGAGGGCCCTTCTTAGCCTATACACTTTGTCTTCAGCCTCTGTAACCACAAAACCATTAGGTTGATCCATATATACCTCATTTTCAAGAATACCATTCAGAAACGCTAATTAAACAACCAATTGCCACAGTTTCCAACCTTTCTGTGCAGCTAGTGCAATGAGTGTCCTAATGGTATCTAACCTTGTCACAGGGGCAAAGGTTTCATTGCTTCAGCCCAAAACTTCAAGGGAATCTTCTTTTCAAACATCATTGTCCTAGCCATTTTAATCAAAGTACGGTTCTTTCTCTCTGCAACACCATTTTGTTGTGGAGAGTAGGCAGCAGTCAATTGCCTTTCTAATCCCATATCTTCACAGAACTTTGAAAACTCTAAAGATGTGTATTCCTCACCCCTATCACTTCTGAATTTCTTAATTTGATAGTCACTCTGAAGCTCAACCATGGATTTGAACCGTTTGAAAATGTTGGAGACATGTGACTTGTGCTGCAGAAAGAACACCCAACACATTCTAGTGTGATCATCAATAAAGGTAAGAAAGAATCTGTTTCCTCTAAATGTAGTGATCTGCATTGGACCACAAATATCATAGTGAATTAGTTCTAGAGCTTGTGATGCTCTGCAAGCCTTTTCCTTATCGAATGGTTCTCTGTGACCCTTCCCTATAGCACATCTAGAGCAAACATGTTCAGTGACTTGTAGTCTAGGTAAGCCATGCACCATTTCTTTTCCTTGCAAGAGCATCAAATTGATGTAGTTTAGATGTCCATATCTTCTATGCCACACCCAAGATGACTCTTCAACAGTTGCTCTATTAGCCATAAGAGGATTGACATATTCTAGACTTAAGGGAAAGCATATGTTTCCTTTTATTGGAACACTTGCAATCAGATCTTCCATTTGTTTATCTCCATATATATATCAACCATGTAATCACCAAACACAAGCTAATATCCATGTTTAACCATCTGCCCTACACTCAACAAATTCTCATCCAATTCAGGTACAATCATAACCTCTTTAATGTATCTAGTCACACATTTCATTTCTATAACCAAGGTACCTTTGCCTATTGACTGCACTAAATCTCCAGTGCCCATTTTAACTCTACACTTCACATTTTTATCAACATCAATAAGCAAAGATCCATGAGAGGTCATATGATTACTACATGCATTGTCTACATACCATATGTTCATATTCCTTCCAATAGTAACATAATGACAAGCATAAAACATGGTTGCAGGTTTTGGTACCTGATTAGCAAAGTTTACAAGCTTTCTAGCCTTGTTTAGTTGATCACAGTCGTTGATGAAATGACCAAATCGATTGCAACCATGACATTTTGGCTTCCCTTTAAACCAACACTCACCATAGTGTAGTTTATCACAATGTTTGCATTTTCCCTTAGCCTAATCAGATTCTCTCTTGATCATTTTTTCTTCCTTGATTGACAGAGTTTTGAGGCTTAGGATCCCATTTCTTTCCCTTCGATTTCCAGTTTTTCTTTGGATTTGACTGAGTTCCCTTTGGATTCACATTCATACTACTGAAAGCACTCTGAGTGGTACTCTCAGCATGCCTATCAAGGCGCTGTGCAAATTCCTTCAATGCAGCAATAACCTCTTGCACCTCAATAGTTTCAATGTCCTTAGTTTGCTCAATCACATAGCAAACAGGATCAAATTCTTTGGTCAAGCTTATGAGCAATTTCTGAACCAAATGTGCTCTGGGTAATTCTTCCCCATAACCCTTCATCTGATTCACCAACTCGAGAAGACAAGTGAGATACACAGACAAGGTTTCATCATCCCTCATCCTTGTGTACTCGAAATCACGATGTAGACCTTGCAACTTGATGGATCTCACCTGCTTATCGCCATGAAATTCTTGGTGTAAAATGTCCCAAGCACCCTTTGAGGTCTCCTCTTTCGAGATTCTAGGGAAAATGTCATATGAGACAGCTCCTTGGATAATACCCAGTGCCTTAGCATCCTTCATTAGCAGAGATACTTTCTCTGATTCTGATGACCCTTCCGCATCAACCTTCTTCCCCTTCGATTCTAGAATTTCAAGACCCTTTTCAACTAGATCCCAGATTCCATGTGATTTGAAAATAGTTCTCATTCGGATCTTCCAAAATTCATAGTTGTCACCATTGAATATTGGAGCACAAAGATCACTACCACTTGACCCAGCCATTTGAGACCTGAATCGACGAACTGAGTCAGAAATTTCACGTTGGATTTCCGAGCACATTACTCACAAATCCGACGTCCTAATTCCAGATAGAACCTAAGCTCGTGATACCATGTTAAAGTTTGTATAGTCTTTCATTGATGATCTCTTTGGATTACAAAGGGAGCAAAGGAATGAAGAGAAGAGAGAAATGCTAGAGTGAGAAAGGGAATAATCATTGCAACATTCTAATCGTTACAGAATAATGCATTTCATTCATATAGTTCATTCTCTTACATCAGTCATCACAACCATTCAAATACATGAGCCATTGTGATTATGACACATGGCACTTACAAGGCATGTGAGCATTGAAAATGAAAACTGATCGAAGACCCTACACTTGGCATATAAGCTCAAGCTATCACAGCAGAAAGTAGTTACACAATATGACGAGATAAATCTAATAAGTAAATCATTTACTAGCAAGAAATTAGTAAGCAATTTACTTTTCAACATTTAATGGCATAACCATTAGAGGGCAACTGAGAAGTGTATCGAAGATTCTTAATTCTATTTCTTCGTAAAGAATGCGGATTTACTCCGGCCTTGTGAGCTGCAATAACACCAATTGCTTCCCAATAGTTTGAGACCTTGACCTGCATGAAAGGTTCCATTTAATTCAGAAACCAAATGCATATGAGTCGAAGCAATGCCTTTTCCTAGTGGGTATGTTGAGAACCAATGAAAGAATTTATTCCTAGTGTTATTTTGATACTAATGATTATGGAGATGGGGAACAGGCTTCCACACTCATTGGCATACTGGAAGGTGAACTAGAGCGGGTTTTGGAAGTACTTGACTGATACTCTTTACCTAGGGTAAATTAGTTCAGGGACCCAATAATTACTAACAATACTAGCAAGGTTCTAACAGTTGTAAAACAGAATAAATTCACTTAAAATTACGACGACAGCCATGAAAATGATTCCATTTCTGACGGGGGACAAATCAGAAGGTATGTGTGTAAACATTTGGATACATACCGCTTCAACCCCAACTTTATCTGGTGTATCATCAAGGACTGTTCCATTTTCCTCCACAGCAATTATAAGTGGCTGTATCAAAATCGAAATTAGTATCAGGAACAAGTTATATGCTATCAGTAAAATCTGCTCTTCCCAAATTCAACCAAAAGGAAAAATTAGGATAGTTTCCAAGTTTATACCTTGTTTCTTTTGCTTCGTGCAAAAGCAAGAACGCCGTCTCCTCCAAAAGCATCTACAGGAAGGATGACGCTATCAACATCACTTGCCAGTATGCAACCATTCTCAGACTCAGAGTTCTTGACCAAATACTGTGGTGCATTACTAAGCCCAGCAAGCACACATGGCAAGAATGTGTATCCCAACTGTTGCACATAGAAAGAGAGAGAGCTATAAAAACATCAAGTAGCAGATATTTGGACACTGTAGTCTATTTGAACAGGAAACGCCACGAATATTGATATTTTATCAGTTAGCTACACCTTTTTTCCAAAAAACCCTTGTGCCACAGACGCCACACTTAATTTTCTAAAGAGCACTGACATTGTATTTTATCTTTTCTACTTTTTCCAACGATCCATCAGAACATTGTGTCCTAACTCTCAAAGGCAATAAGTTCTGTGTTATGTAAAAATTTACCAACCTCCTCAGCAGCTGATTTTGGGCATAGAGATGGGCTCAGGGGCAAAGGTGATAAGGCAGGAGCATGTGCACAAGGAATTTGGAATTCCTTCACCACTAGATGGCTTATAACTGCCTCAACCCCTGCCAATAGATCAATTCCCTGGAAGGTACAAGGTAGAATTAGATGTAAGTGTCATAGAACTGATCAGAACCAAGAACTAAGAATAAACTTTAGTCTTTCTGCTGATGGTACTGTCTGAATCCAAGAGTATAATATCAAAGAAACCAAAACTTTCATATGCAGTCTTTTATATCACATTAAGAAGTACATACTAAATATCCATTTTAAAGCCAAGTGTTACACTAGCAATTGAAACTACTTAGATGCATAGTAAAGTTGCAAATAAGGTTGAACAATTCATGAAAGTTATCATTAAAAAAATCATATGTTAAAAGTTTAACATACCATCCCTTTTCGATAATCATCTGTGTCTTGAACATCATCATCATCTGAGAAGCGTCCAACAACTGCAATAGCATTTACTTGAGAGCGTTTAAGTAAAGCCTGCACAGCCCTCAATAGTGAATCAGGGTGCTTAATCCTACCAGTTGATTGCCCACTTTTTGGATCAATCCACTTCTCTACCTGTAAAATTTGTTCCATCCAATCTCATGCAATCACATTAGCAGGAAAGTTTCGAATCCCCTTTTACATGTCCAAGGGAATTCAGAAGCATAAGATTGAGATGAAAAGGACAGGCTTAGCAGCAAAGAAAAGTGAAACAAGGTAGCAACTAAAGCTCTTTTCAATATTAAATGTCAAAAACACTTTGAATACAGAAATTTTGTTTCAATTACAAATTTTCAACGAGTTTTTGAATTGAAGGCTTTTCAAACCCCAGCTTCAAATTAGATTGAAAGGCAATGTGCCTGCCTGGTGATCAGTTTAGAGTTGCTTGACCCATTGACACATTGCGGCAGAAAGTGTAAAATCACACACTTAACAACACGATAAATGCAATACAAACAATCAACTCCTACTTTGAACAGCTAAAAGTGAGACCTGTAAAGGGGTGTCAGTGACAACATATTCAACCACAGGCAAGCCAAGGGAAGCCCTTGCAGCATCGGCCACTTGTAAATGGCGAACTCGAAGCTCTTCTTCTATTCCAGAATCAAGAACCAAACCCACCTGCTTCATAATATCTATGTGAGCAACAATAAATAAATAAATAACAAAACCCCTCCCCCCCCCAATTTTTTATTTATTTTTTTTGAACGCACCCTGTTTTGGTGAACAGGCATGAGGCCCCATGAGCCTTCTGCAAAGCGGTCAAGAGCATAACCTTCAACGTATAAAGCATTAGGCATGGGCCAGTAGAGCATTGCTGCATTCAGCACCTGCTCAACAGTCAAAGTGAGAGTCAAGCTCGCAGTGGCAGCAGACTCAGAGACTCCAAAAAGAAAGCAAAAACATTGAATTAGGCATACGTTGGGGTGCGTGATAAGGCAATCGACGACGGAGGAGAGAGTGCGAGCCACAGGCAAAGCGTCGCCGGCGTAGCCACCAATGGCGGCTCCTATCCCGGTTGGGACTATCATTACGCTCGTGTAATCTCTCTTTAACACCGAATCCAAACAAAAAGAGCAACACTTAATTAATCCTATGATGTGCTTTGCTTTCTCACAACATAATCCGACGAAAACGAAGAGTGTTTAGTGGTGGTTACTAACTGACCTTGAAGGAGTGTTTGGGATTGAAGCATGAGATGCTTGGTGGAGTGGACGGTCTGGATTTGGTGATGCGTCGGTTTTGGGCGGCCAAAGAGGGGAATGGTCGGTTCAGAATGACTGTCATCTCATATCCTGCCGTCGACGGAACTCGGATGACCGTCTTATTATCCCATTACCGCTGTTCCTCACTGGCTGTGCGCTCCAATTTTATCCGCGGGCTCTAGAATTTTTTGACCCTGGTGGTGCTTGGTCTTTTTAGTTTTCTTGGATTTTGCTAGTCGTCTAGAATTTACTAAGAGCATCCACGGTGGGGAATGTAAATTCGGGGGTGTAAAGTCACTTTTACATTTCTTTTATACCTTCTAGGGTGTAAATATATTTTTTGCTCCAATAGGGGATGTAAATTCGGGGGTGTGCCGTGAGTCCCAGCCTTTTATGTTGACTTTTCTTCATTTTTCTTCTCTTTTCTCTAGTGTGTCCCGCCTGCAAGGGATGTAAAAATATATGTAAATATACATTTTATTTTACATCCCCATGGTGGTGATGTATATTTACATCCATTTACATCTCTCCATTGGAGACAATTCCGGTGACTCGGGGTGTATATTTAACATACACCCTCATATACACCTCCCTAGGGTGGATGCTCTAAATACACTTCACTCTTTTATATCAAAAATATATATATGTCATTGTTATAAATATAAAATAATCAGAGTATGAAAAGTACCATTAAATATTAGGAGCAAAATTTTCTCTCGGATAGAATACACTAACACTCAAATTTCACACTCTCTCTTCTTTCCTCTCACTTTTCCTTTCTTTTCTTCCTATCTTTCCTCTCTTCTCCGTTGGTGTATCTTGCTAAGCAATGGAAAACCTATTTATAGGCAAATTGGATGGCTTACCTAACATCATCGTTAAGCTTTATGAATATTATTTCCTTATTTTCTTTATGTGGGCTCCACCACTTTCTTTACAAGAGTCATATTATTTTGGGAGTTTCACTAAAACACCCAAAATGGGGGTTGAAATAATAAAAAAACCAAAGCACTATTTAAACATATAAACACACCTAAAACCCATCATTACACACACTCAAAACTCATTTATAAACACACCCAAAAAGTTAACTTTGGGGTTGATTTTGGGTGTGTTTCTATGTTTAAATAGTGCTTGGATTTTTTTATAAATACATGTCTAGGATTTGGTTTATTTATAAATTTGTATATTATTTTTAAAATTATTTTAAAGCAAAAAACAATATGGTGCTCTAAGACTTTTGAATTTTACAAAAATGTGCTATGTTGTATACATTTTTTTGTTTTTTTAGGATATTTTTTATTGAGAGGGACGATAATATACTAAGGCTCTATTTGGTCAGCTGGACTAGATGAGATTTTTTCAATTAAAATGGACATGAGTTCTATCCATTGTTTGATGGGCTTACAATGCATCATGGATTTGATGTGATTATTAGGCACCAGTCCATAATAGCAAGGGCTCCAGAACCCATCGGTAGACATGGGTTTCAAAGCCAATCGAGTCGTCTTGCAAGCACGCCTCCTTTGATTCGCGACTTGCTCTAGTTTGGTTTGCTGCCTTCTCTCTTCTGCCCGCTCTCTCTCTCTCTCTAGTTATGATATCATATCCTAACCAGTCCAGTGTAATATAACCAATCCAATCGAATCTAGCCTACCAAATGGGGTATAAATTCATACACACTATACGAATGTTAGGATTCGAACTCAAGATCTTAACAGAATGAGCAATTGCTCCAAATCACTACACTAGTAGATACTTTGCAAAAAAATTCTTTTACTTTTTACCAACAAAGAATTTTATTTTTATTTTTTACAGAGCATGTTGTCCAAAGTAAGAGAAAACTAGACGAAACAAATAGCCCAACGTTCACAGAAAAAGCATGATAGGAGTGAGTCGCCCACACATGATTTATGATTGCGAGAAGAGAGCCTTACAAAGGGGGGAAAGAAAAGAACGTGTGAAGTTGCTAGACGTGGTGAAAATAATAACAATAATTATTATAATAATTCCCTTCGAATCAAAGTATTAAACTTCTGATCAATTTGCAAACTGTGATTACATCTTTGTTGACCAGACCTTATCTCAGGCACTAGGTAGACTACCTACATGATAAAAGTACCCAATGTAATGGACCTTGGCCGGCCTTCTCAATGAGAAATACTTTCATATTCCCATTTCATTATCTTTTTCTCTATATCTCCCCTCGTTTAATAGACAACATGAGGAGAAAGATAGAGAAAATAAAACAATGAAACGAGAATATGAAAGTTTTTCTCCTTCTCAACGGATGACTTTTAAGGGTCTCATCATCGCATTGTCCTCATGATCCAAGATCTGCACAACATAAAACAACAACGTTTCAAGTCCATCATCTCAAACTATACCACGATCGATAATTTCAGCATATACAATTACGACGGCTAATAACATTGCTACAACAAATTAAATAGAAGCAAGCACTTTGGACTGGACCCCTTCTCAAGCCATACATCATAATACATGATTTGTGAGTCTGGAATCTCTTGGACTGGACCGCTCAGACTCAGACAGTAGGCACGCTACCCAACAATGTAAACAAACAAAACTGTTAGCCTATATCTGTTAACCTAGTGAAATTTTATGGTGAGTGTGTTTTATATGGTTATCTCGTATGAAATTTCATATTAGTCACATGATTATTTTATTAAACTTAAGTGAAGTTAGTATTCAGATCGAATCTTGTAGCTAATATGAAAGTACACATTTATGGTCTATATATTATTCCCCCCCACCATAGAACGACTTGTTAACCTATTTCTAGTATTTGGTATCCCCTGACCCTCCATCCAAGCCCAAAAACCTTATTCTAATTTGTCATATTAATTGTTATATGGCTCATATCATATCATGCAATTTTCTTTCTTATTCTTTCCTAAAAATGTAAAATATTTTATACAAATATAAACCCTTGAACAAATAATTGTAACCAAATTATGCTGGTAAGTTATGCAGTGGGATGGTATACTTACGTGGCAGTGGTACACGTAACCAGGCTCCGCTGTTGGATCAAATTCGTAGGATGCATTTGTATGCAGGTAAGCAAATCTCAAAAGAATCTTGGTCACTGACCCGGGTCTCATCTTGAATACGTTCTTCCACCCCTTCTCGTACGCTGGCACGTCTATGTTTTTGCCACGTGCATACTTGCTTATATTGCACTTGACGGCGTCGTTTGTTTTGTTCATACAGTCTTTGAACTTCTCCACATCCACCAACTCCCTCTGTTCCAATACAACAAACAGTCCCAAGTGGATGTGTAAGGGATGATTGTCCTCCGTTAAATTGATCACGTTCCACACCTCGCTGGTCCCTGCTTTTGCGATCTCAGTCACCGGCGCCTCATACGGTTTCCCGTTCAAATAAAGATGTGTCGGCTCATCAATGTCGCTCGTGTACTCGTACATAGCGATATATCGGGTGCGCGACACACTGGATAAATCAGGGACAGGGTAGGAAATTAACCTCTTTGGAATCCGCGACGTGTCAACAGCTGAATAGCCAACGACGAAAAACTTCATGACCTTACTGTTCGCGTCGTTGACAGGGTCACCAGATGGGTAAGGATACGGTGCATCATTGGCTAGGATAGCATTATCGTTCTTTGACTTTGAAAAGTCAACCACCACGTCTGTGATCTCAGATGGCCCCAGTAAAATGTCATTGGTCTCAACCGGTTCCCCAAGGTAAGCTGAATCAGACCCCACGTGGGTAAATCTCAAACCGTTGGCGAAGAAGAACCTGAAGAACCTCGCATTGCTAGCGTTGATAATTCGAAACCTGTATTTACGGCGTCGTACCGTAAGCCGGGGCCATGCCTTTCCATTCACAATAATTGCATCGCCAAAATATTCGGGCTGCCATTGTGGGTGTATGGAGGGATTGTTTCCCGTGGAATTCATGTATATGGAACCATCGGTGCGAAAGCTACGATCGAACACGATCAACGAACGATCAAATTCATCACGGGGCAGACCAAGTGGGCCCTCAACTTGAGGATGGCGAATAATGTAGGCCCCAATCAAGCCAGCGAGGAGGTTGACTCGAGTCAAGCCCATGGCATGATCATGGTACCATAGATTGCCAGGATGTTGCTGATTGCGGTAGTGATATTTACGGTTGGACCAAAGTGGGCCACGGGCTTCAAATCGAGCGGTAAACCATGCGTTTGCGTTTCCATCACTGGCGGGTTCATCGATGGCACCGTGTACGTGCACCACAGTAGGAACGCCCTTGTTAGTGGCAGCTCGGGCCGTTGGAATGGTTGGATCCCAAGGCAGAATGTGCTTTGAAGGTAGGCGATTCATCCACGTCACGTAGGTATCAATTCCGTGGAGGGCCTCAATTGTTGGACCAGGCACTGTTGCTGTTCTCCAATGTGTGCCGTAGGCGAACACTGGCGTTGGGGGAAGGTCTCTGTGGAATTTCTGCGGAGAGAGAGAGAGAGAGAGAGAAAATGACAACCTCTGATTACAAAGCAAAAATTAAAAAAAACTTGGGCAACGAATGGTTAAAAAATTAGATAAATTAAGGTCAAGAAGACCAAAGTGTGACATTGGAATAAATGTTGCGGTCTGATTAATTAATTCAGGGTTGCTTTACAACTTTGGATACGGAATTATGTAAGAGAAGTAGACTTTAAGATGTATGATGAAGCAACATAAGTGACTGAGTCTAATTGAATTAACCTCTGGGGGAAGATTCGACCAAAGAAACCTCTGGGGGAAGATGAAGTCTAATTTTTTATTTTTTATTTATTTTAATAGGAAGATGAAGTCTAATGAAGCAGACATTGCATTCATACATTAGCATCCTAGAAGTTAACCTTTAAACACTAGGAAAAGCCAAATTAATAAGGAATTAAAATAGAATAATAGATAGTTAGAACGGGGAATAAAGGCGAATTGATGATGATATATGTTTTAATTACCCAGTTAATCTTGTACATGCCAATCTTGAGTGACTTGGGTTTGGGGACACCATTGACAAGATGGAAGGCCTTGATTTTGGGCATATCAGGAAGCTCATCCACGAACATCTTCAACCTCGTCAGATTCACAAGCTTATCTTCGGCCCATGAACCATTTGTGAGCAAACCCAGAACAACAGCTAATGATATTAGCAAGTAATTGAACACCAAAATTCTCTGCACACTCACCATCTTTCTCTCTCTCTCAAGTCTCTAGCTTGAGTGCATGCAAAAACAAGCACTTGAAGCGAAGAGAGAGAAAGAGATGACTGTTTTGACAGGGAGGTCTTTTGAGTCGGTGTTTTGTGGAAGGGAAGAGGTTGAGAAAGTTTTTTTCTTTCTTGTTTGGATGGGTGGGATTCGACGGAAGATAATGGAGAGAAAAATTTGCATTGTTTGGATATATTTACAAGGAAAAAGAAAGTGAAGCACTGAATACAGCCTAGCCTACACAGCATATATTTTCCTTGTAGGTAGGTCCTCCCCTTGTCTGGATTTTGTGTTGTGTCCAAATTATGAAAGTGAAATCAATGCAGGAGAGAAGACATGTAAACGTCTATTTTTATTTGACTTCAAAATTCTCTCACTGTCTATTCTTTAGAGAAGAAAATAATATTTACCTGAACGTTTTGTATAATTTATCTTAAAATAGAATCATCCAAATAATATCTTTCACATCAGAACAATAATAATAATAATAATAACTGAACGTAATTAAGAAGATGGAAATGAGATTTTTTAGACAACCTCGACTGAACGAATGAAATTTTATTAAAAAATGATTGAAATGAAATTAAAATAGTTTTGGGTGTCAATTTCCTTAGAGTCCACTCCGCAAACACACTCTATACGCACAAAGCGTAAGAGAAACATTGGTGTGAATAAAGCGATCCTTCCTTTTCGGTATTTCAAGCAAAAAATTGAAAAGGAGCACTACTGACATACACATGTTCGCATTCAACTGCAACGCGCTAGCACGAGGCAGGCGTAAGCATGACTATTTATGACCGTTTCTCGTTTTTATTACATCTTTTTTTTTTTTCTTTCTTTCTCATTTTCAAATGATTTTTTCTTTTTAATGTGGTGCGTTAATTTTGTTATTACATTGAATTGATGACGTTAGTTTAGGAAGAAAATTCATGTTCAAAATCTTGTGTTACGATATGATGTGAGGGCTAGTTTTCTACAATATAAAGATTAATTTGCTAACAAACATATGGCTAACAAATACAAGAAAACAAGGCCGGTGTAGTCTAGTTCAGTCAAAAAAAGTATTGATTTGCAAACTAATGATCTCAAGTTAAATTCTTATGAGACATTAACAATGTGTATGAAAAAACCCCTCATCTTTTCTAACTTTGTCGAATAATAAAGAAAAACATAGTGCAACTCCCCTGTAAAGTAGGAGCACTAATTAAGAATAATTTGTCTTCGCAGAAAAAAAACAACTACAAAGAAGAATTTATTTATGCTCAGGCGGGTACCTCTTTGCAACCGCTGATTAAAAAGTCATTTGGCATCTTTTGCTTTCTTTTGCCCTTTCGCCAAACTAGCCACTCCTTTGACCTAATTAAGAAATGATAGGAAATGTACAAAGCAAAGAAACAACACAGATGGTCTGATATAACTAATCGCTTACTGTTAAGTACGGTGTTTAGAGCATCTTCAATGGAAGGGTGTAAAGCCAAGTGTATGCTAAATATACACACTTTGTCGCCGGAATCACCTTCAATGGGACGGTATAAATAGTTGTAAAAATGCATCATAGGCGTGGAGATGCAAAATTAGATGCGCATGTGCATCCTTTTTTTATATCATTTGTAAGCGAGACCCACATGAGAAAAAGAGAGAGAGAAAATGTTGGAATCACTCTTCAGACGCCATACAAAATTATGTTGAGGGCCCTGCTTGACGTTAGCACACCAAGTGGTCTGCTGCAATCTCCAACAGCTCTATGATGAATGGCTGAGATGGATTGGAATTCAAAATGGAAGGCTCATATTTCATGCAATTTGCATTGCACTTCCAATGGTCTGAAATATTATAAAAAATACCTTAAAATGTTTAAAATAAGTTATAAATTTATACATAGATATTTTTATGTTAGTTTGTAGGTAAAATCATATGTTCTCCAAATTTAAAATTTTGTTAGGTCCATTTTTTTGGAAAAATAAAATAAATCTAACACACACAAAATTAATTTTAAAAAGTTAAAACACAAAAATGAATTATCACAAACAAATCGAATATACATATTTGGATTTACATCATTTCCAATTGGAGCAAAAAACACATTTACACCCTCCGAGGTGTAAAATGGGTAAAAGTGGTTTTACACCAAAAAAAATACACCCTCATGCTCTTATAGACCCAAATCAATGCATTTGATTAGGCTGACCTATTTTTCTAATTTTATTTTTTCTAAAAGGATTAGGCTGACCTATTTTTGCACACCTTATGTTGTTAAGGATATTAATTAGGATTTTTCATATCCAACTAAAAGTTTGACATTGATCACATCAGAAGATTATGACTTGTTTGGTATTCAACTTGAATTCAACTTTTTTAACTCAAAAACCAGAATTTAAGTCCAAAACAAAGAAAACCTGTTTGGTAGCCTTATTTTTAAAAACTCAAACTCAAGAACAACTAAAAAAACACCATAATTATTAAAAACAAAAAATATCTATTTTTTCTGTTTTTTCAAACAACCACAAGTTCTCAAAATTTTAAATTTTGAAAACAATTTTCAAGTTGCATACCAAACAAGTTTTTGAATCTTAAAAATAGATTTAAGAACTCCTTGCTTTTAAGAAAAAATAAAATAAAATTGAGTTCTCTTTTTGAATGAGATACCAAATGCCCCCTTAAAAACCCAGAGATTTTTCTTGTTTCTTTCTAGTACTAGTGGTGTTTGATTTTTCTGGCATGATACTGACTTATTGAGGGAGAGATCAACATGAGGCCACATAGTTCAGTTTCACCTGCTCCGCTTTCGGGGTAATAATATGTGTACTTAACGAGCTTTATGTTATGTCCACAGTAAAACTCAAACTTTCGATCCTTCCAGTTCCAGCCAAAAGCTAGATGGTAGAAAGCCATCACATCACCACAAAATGCTTTCCCACTTCTTCTTAATTTTAGACAGTTGGACTTTCTACTTTTTCCAAGTGTTAGTGCCGAAGAAACTATCGAGGCAGGCTATAGGCTGCTTATGCATGCGGCAAGGCAACTCATAAAGCCCAATAAAGTACATGGTTTAGGAAATTAATTAGCATGGGAATTAATACTGCTGACTGTGATGAAATGTGCAGAAAAGGTAGACATGAAGGCTTGTAGTAAGACGGGCTTTGTTGTGGTCCAGTCCAGAGACAAGTTGATCCCATGAGCAGGGGCTGTTTTTTCTGTATCTTTTGCTCTTTTTTTTTTTTTTTTTTTGTTGAAAAAACCTTTTTTTTCAAGGGGAAAGG